GGAAAGGGAACTGTTGGTCATGTGCCTAAACTAGCACTTTACTGCAAACTGTTTGAACACCCAGGCACACTAGATTCTGGCCCTTTGTCAGACAGTATTTTGCCCCAAGTATACCATCTCTAGCAAAAACGCAAGTGATAGGCAGAATTACTTGTGTGTAGTACCATCTATTAAGGCTCTGTCAGGGAAGGAAGATTCATTGTCTACACTGGTGCACCTGAAGGCTTAATATAACAAGAAGAAAGTAAGGCCGTAACTCAAAACTGAGATCTAGCAAGGCTTATGATGTATGTAACCCTGAGTGCGATGCTACTTGTGCCCTCACCTGAACAGTGGGATCCTGCCCGGTGGCCCTGCTCAGCTCCCTGTGTAGCTGCTTCAGGGTATCTGAGCGAAGATCTCCCCTTATAATCAAACAACCTTGCAAACCATTATAAAACAGGATTTAATTATTTACAAGGTAACATATAACCAATGCAATAAAACGTTAGACTGCATGACCTGGCGATGGTGGCTTAAGGGTTAATGCTTCTTGGATACACATTACACTAGGGGAAGGTATACAAATTTCCCACAATAAATAAGGAACCAATACATAAATACATTGATACTCCAACTAATAAACCATCAAGAACTTACTTACACAGTCTATAACTTGTATACTGTGTACTGAGGACCCTGTATGCACTGCCCCTGGCTGGGTGTCCAAGGGAGCAGGACTGCGTCTGTGTCCCAGCACAGGAGCCACGGGTGGTCCCTGCTGCTGGCATCCCTCTCTAAGCTCCAGGGGTCTCCATGCAGCAGGTAGTGGCCTCTCCCCTGCAGTCCCTGCAAGAGAGCTGATTCCTGCCCAGTCCCCCGTCCCTGGCTCAGCAGGGAGCAAGACACTCCAGTTTTCTGCTACTCTGTCTTCTGTCCTTTATTGATACAAAACCCAATGCCTTTATGTCCTCTATTTCTCTCTTCAAGAGAAAAATAGAGGTATAAAGGCATTCAGTTATGTATCAATAGAGGACAGAGGACAACCAGACTCTATGATGGCCACCCTAGAGCAGTGTCTGGGCTGCAGGTTGTAACAGTTTCCCCTGCCCAGCACAGCCTCAAGGCACCTGGCAAATGCAGCCCTTCCCTGGACCCTGCCTGCCCCAGGGCTTCTGGTGGCTGGACTCTAGCCCAGGGCTCCCTCCAGCACCTGAGCCTGCCCCTCCCCAGGGCCTTCTCACTCATGGGGGAAAAACCAGGGCAGTCTCCAGCGGTCTCCCCCTGGCCCTGCATCCCCCTCCCCTGCTGTGCTCACCCAGCCACACAGGGGCTTGCAGGAGGCTTTTCCCAGGCTGGGAGTCTCCCTCTTCTCTTGTCCTGCCCCTGCAGGGCTCCCAGGGGGAAAGGAGGGAGAAGGACACAGTGCAGCACTCTCCATACAGCCTCTGGCTGCTGCTTCTGCAGGGCTCTGCCAGGGGCTCTCAGAGGGGCAGCCACAGGGAGATCATTTTCCTGGTCTCCAACCTGTCTCTTACCCCCTCTCTCTCTCCTTTGTTCTCCCCCACCCTGGGAAAACTGCTCCCCTCTTTTAACCAAGCCTCTCAGCCAATCCCAGGCCAAGGCTCTTCCTGGGCTTCTGCTAAGGTCTCATTTAAACCTGCTGGGGTTACATCACCCCTCCCACTTCTGAGAGGGCTGCCTCCAAAGCAGCTTCACTTGCTCACAGGGCAAATGGTGTCCCTACTGCAGGGGTGGGCAATTATTTTGGGCAGAGGGCCGCTTACTGAGTTGTGGGAAACCATCTAGGGCCGCATGACAGGCCGCATGACAGGCAACCCAGGGCAGATAAATATTAACTTTCTAAATTTTTTAGCAGCCCCACAGGCTGGATTGAATGGCCTGCCGGGCCGCATCCAGCCCCCAGGCTGCATTTTGCCTACCCCTGCCCTACTGGGACAAACTGTCTCTTCGCACTCTGCCCCTCTGCAAGGCAGCCCTTCCTATTCCTTCAGGTGGGTCCGTTTGTAACGCTGCTACATGTAGAAAGCTGGCCGGAGTAAGGTCTGAAACCTAGTGGGCCTTAGCATAAATACAGGATGTTTAGTCAACCTTCAACTGTCAGTTATAAACCAGTTAAGCAAGGATGGCATAATAAACCACAATCCTATGCAGAAGAGGTGTTTTGAATATTTGGGGGGTAAAATAGGGAAGTAAAGGAGTTGACAATTGCAGCAAAAAGAGGGCAAGCAGGTACAAATACATGCAAACTTGTGCCACAGCTTTTGGGAGAGGCAGAAAACATTCCAGTGCTGACTACTTGACTGCCAGCCCACCAGCACCTTTCTTCTTTCAGTAGAAGAATGTAAGTAGCATTATTGTCATGGCAACTGCTTAGCTTGTCTGATTTTTCTTTTTTTTTCTAAAGCCATGTTGTTTGACTTTCATATACAGATTTTGTATTCTCCTCTGTCTGTCTTTGGAGGGCCCTCTACTAATCATTTTTTTAAATGGAGCTGAATTGGGGCCAAAGAAGTCTATGCCTACTTTGCTCTTTTTCCTGTGCTTGACATTGTTCTGGATTTTGCTGGTGGACAGAAACAGTTCTTTTTTTTTGCTGGAGCCTCTGGCTTTCAGGTCTAATGCCCTTCCTCCTCAGGACATCCTTTTTATAGTAGTTTAGATTCTGCATCTTGTTTGGATGGGTGACTTCCTTTGCTCACTCTAGTTGCTTTTCTCAAAGGCTATAATTCTGGGATTTGCACAACCCTTCTCTGAGATTTTTCTCAAAGAAACAAATCAGTCTTTAGGATTCAGTTAGTCAGGTCCTAACATTGCAGGATAGGTCCTTTGTTCTTAGATCAGTGTATTTTTACCTTCTTGGTACTATTTATAAACATCTCTCACATTATCATTTTCACATGGGCTAGGGACAGACATTACACATAAACCGGTTTAAGTGATCAGAAACTGGTTTAAACCTGTAACAGAACAGATGTTCAGTGTACATAAACCAGTTTGAAAATGGCTGAAACCGGTTTGACATAAACCTGATTGAATGTAGTATCTGCTTTGGCTCAAATCAGTTTATGCAATGTCTGTCCCAGACTCCTTGCTGGTTTAAGATAAATCAGAGTCCTCCATCATCCCATCATGCTCTCTGGCTGGGTGGGACTCTCTGCCCCATAGCAGGGCTGGCCCCTCCCCTCTGCTGCCTCACTGGAGCTCAGCAGTGTCTGCAGGCAACTGCCTGGCTTCTGCTCCCCCCCTCCCCTCCCCACTCCCACTCCCACTGCTCACAGACACCTCAGCTAGCAGACCACAGGCTGGCTACAGTTCATGCTATGGGAGATGACAGAGGCAGACAGGCTTTTTGGAGCTATTCAACAGGTCCTTCCTTGGAAAAACTGTTTGATCCCCCCTCCCCTCACCACTCCCTGCTAAGCAGGAATTCCCCCCTCCCCTCTGCCTTGTGGATAAGGTATCTGTGTATTAGCTAGAACACCACATTCTGGGTCTATGCTGAATCAACAGGCAGAATCAACAGGTAGCTGGTAATGTCCCTCTGTTTTCTTCATAGGGTGATAAACACTGAGATGGGGTGACACTGTTATCAGCCCCCACACCCCTGGCTAGCTTGCCTGTCAGTTTGCTGCAGTGCAGACAGTATACAGAAGCAGGGAGGGAGACTAAAAAGCTCTGTATCATCAACAGATGCATGCACTGCACACCCCACCTTTGCCTCAGTGCTAGCTGGGGGCTGGCAACACTCCTGCCCCTTCAGCAGCAAGCTGGGAAAAGCCTGGGACTGCAGGCAGGCTGGGGGGTCACACCCCTCCCTAATCAGAGCCTCCTGCTGGGACCTGGCCACACCCTCCTCAGCTCAACTCTGCAAGGGAAGGAAGGGCTGCTCTAGCACTTCCTGGCTTCCAGCCTGAGCCGCTGCAGGAATGTGCCCAAATTTCCTCAGTCCAGATGGACTGTCTGAATGGTTGGAAACTAGTTCAGCCTAGCCAGGTTAAACTAACCTGCAAAGGTTGAATCAATTCAGGTTCAGTCTTTTTGAATGTCTATTCCTAGCCTAGATGTTTAAGCAGGAGTTTCCCTAGCCCTCGAGTGCAGGACTTCTCAAACTTCTGAGGCACATTTTCATTGTCAACTTCCTGTGTCTGAGCTAAGTAAAACTCTTCAAGTGCTTTAAAACAAGCCCATGTCCCCAGAGCCTCTCTGGAGAGGAGTCTATGATACCAGAACAAGATTGGAAAAAAACATTGCAGGAATTCTTTATCTTCATTTTTTTACAATGCCACAGGCTTTTTTTTAGGAAAGAGACTCAGAAACAAAAGGAACATGTGAAAAGAGACCCCAATGAAAAATAGTTGAGATTTGAAGTCTGAGTCACAGCAAACTGTGGGATTGTGGAATCACTTTCCTCTATGCCAGCTTCCACAAGGACACAGGGTGGATTTTATTTTCATTAGAAAATGTTACATTACATTTCATCCTCTGAGATCACATTAATGTTTAGAGGAAATAGGGAAGGATCTTCTTGTATATACAACGCTCTTCAAAACATCAGTCTTTGGCCAAAATACAAAGTGAAGGGAAGCAAGTAAGAAATTAAAGTAAAAAAAGGAAGTCACCCATCCAAACAAGATGTAGAATCTAAAATAAAATATTCAGCAGATATATCACTTGTCACAAGCAGAATTCACAATGACTATCACAACAGTATTACAAATGGAATGTTTATTATTAAACAAAAACCAAGTATTTTTCCTTGCAAGTAAAGAATAGCTCACTCAGAATATGATCTATTCCTTGATCTATACATTGGTAAAATTCAATAGGCAGTAATACAAGGCCAAATTCTGCAGTCTCTACTATTGAACATATAAGGCATTTCTTAATGATACAATAGGCTTAATGGAGAATTAGAGCTAGAAAGAGCTAACACAAATGGTGGGAGGTTATCATATCCTGCCCCTGCTCACAGATATGGCATAAACTATAATAAACACCATCACAGTGGCCATGTCTACACGAGATCCTTACTGTGCAGTCACTACTGCACGCTTATTTTGCACTTGCATACACAAGTGCTAAATGACTGTGCAGAAACCGGAGTTACTGCACAGTAATGTTGCCAAACAGCTTTTACGTGATGCTGACTGTGCAGTAGCTCATTACTACTGTGCAGTAACATCATGTCGCACTTCGTACCATGCAACACACCTGTGCAGTAGTAACAAGCTACTGCACAGTCAGCATCTCATGTAGATGCAGCCAGTATGTAGTAGGTGACCTGGCAGAAGCTAAAGGTTCTGATAATTTTGAAGGGGAAACAGCTGCAGGTAATTCTGAATACAGTTAATCATAGTAATTCCAAATCAAATATTCCTGGAGATTATAGTTTTGAAGACAAATAGGAAGAGAAATTAGAATATCAACAAGGTTGCATTATGAAAGCTTGATTCTGCATCTATTCTCTCCTCTCTCTTCTGCACTCTTTGTATGCTTTGTCAGGGAAAGGCAGAACTATTATCGTGGTCTCTGTCATGGCTACCCATACACCAAGCCATAGAATTGCTTTCTACTTCAGTATGTGCACATTCGGTCAGGAAAAATACCCCATTGTTCAGAAAATGTTGTATTTGCATTTAGTTAGGGAACATTTCGATACCTTTCTTTTTCACATTTGCTGTTTTTGATTTCAGATTTTCTTCTGTGCTCAGGATCAACCATCCCCATGTATCTGACACTAATCATTTTGGGCCTAGCTGCCCTTATTGGTGAGTTTGGAGCTCCCTCTGGTTCACTAAACTTGCTGCCAAGACAACTGAGTAAGAGATTTGGGGACACATAAGATGTTAAGGTTATGAGCAAACACTCAGATTAAAGAAGGTTCACCAGGCCTAGAACAGCTGCTCATGTGCCCACAATTCTTCTTCTACAGCAAGTAAACTTCTACAGCAAGTAAAAACTACATGGGGTCAATCTAGCCTAGCCTGATTAAAGAGTAAATTGACCTGGTAAAATACTCTTACTGTGAGGTAATTCAAGGCACATGATCAGTTACCATGTATCATTTTTTTCATGCAAAGTCCATAACTCCTGATACCTTTCCTGCGTTTGCTCTCCATACCCTAACACGTTTCATTGGTATTTCCACAAATCCTAGCTGTGTACATGGGCATAGGGAATGAGTTCAACAGTCAATGGAATCAAATTAGAATCCATCATATGATGGAGCTCATAGTACTTAGCGAGACACTTGCAGAATGGGGACAGGATGTGTCCTGTGATGGGCACTTGGGCATAGAGCTCAGGATGTTTTTCTCCCTTGGGTCTTGGAGAACACAATGAAAGATCCATCTCTTTGAAAAGGACATCACCCTCAGTAGAGGCAGTCCTTTCTGACTGACAACCTCCCTAAAACCTATGAAATACAAAGTACTCCATCTTGACAAGAGTATGGTTAATGACTCTCAATTTGCCTACCTTTACTTCTGCTCACAAAAGCTCCTTAATGTAAAAATTCTCTATCTAACTCTTCAGACACTTCCAATCAGTCTGGATGCTATGGTGATATAAACAGAGTTGATAGCACTGGGGCATCTTGTCAAACTGCAAAACCAGAACGCTTAAAATACTGCGGTGAGTATGATTGTGTTTTCTGGCTCATTTTAGAATACAAGGTAATCACTATAATCCACAGCTCTTGATTTCTTCCAAGCAATGAAAAAGGGATTAATTGATTAAATCTCATAACTAGAGCGATCAGTCATACGTCCTGGATTAGCCAGGACAATCCCAGATTTCAGAGGCTGTCTCAGCATCTCAGCCATTGGAGAAACTTGAAGCAAGATTGCTGGGAACCCACCTGGGTCAGGAGCTGGGCTTGTGCAGGTGGGTTTCTACCAATCCAGGCCACTTTTGAATCAGTTTTCTCTAGGAAGCCCAGCCAACAGGCTGCTCCCTGGTCCAGACTCTATTGGGCTCTGAGCAGAGTTGCTTGTGCAGGGGGGCGGGGATGCTTGGGGGCACTGGCGGAGAGCAGTGTCCTGCCTGGCCCTGCTCCTGGGATGTGTGGGTTTGGGGCAGGGGGGTTGGGGCGTCTGTATTTGGGGGGGGGTGGTCCTGCCCAGCCCAGCTCTTGGAAGCTACAGGGGTGGGGGGAAGAGGGCATGCATGCATTGTCCTTCCCAATCCTGACCCTAGCCGCTCTCCCCCCCGCCCCATCCCAGATTTCCCTCAAATTATTATGGTCACCGTACTTATAACATCCCTCCAGCAAAAATAATCCTATTTTGTTTTCACTTATCAGACAACTACCAAAATGGTGTTGCTCCGTTGGCATTAGACAAGTCAAATGAATGATCGTTTTAATCCAGAAAGTAAGGAATCCATTTTTATATTAGCAGGTTCTGATCCTTCTATATGTTTTTGAAGCAATCAGACCTTAAATTGAAGTCATAAGTGCTGGGATGGCTATAAACCTCAGAAGGCCTAGCTCTAGGTGGTCCTGAATTTTAAAATTCGGCCAAAGAGACCACTCCAAAGCTGTGCAGTAAATCAACAATGGAGCTGACTGAGAGAATCCTAGTTTCCCATCTCTTACTTAGCCATGCCTGAGCACTGCTGTCAGTACCAGCACTGCTAGTAAACTTGAAGGAATACCTTATTCTGATTGTTTCAAAAATATAGTAGGATTTAAAACACAGACTTCGCTCAACTAGGGGTGAAGTTACACATTACACTTAAACCATACTAAGGACACTTAAAACACAAGTGTCCACACATTAAAGATCATTAACTTGTGCTAAGCACCCTCCTTAGCTTGTGTTAGGGTAACTTCAGCACATTCTAACTTTGATACTAATTAGCACTGCATAGATTTAGTATGGTTTTAGTGTAATGTGTAATTTCACCCCTATAGGATTTTCTCTAAGTGCAGGATGAGCTGATGTTGAGGCTTCAAAAGAGAAAAGGAGTAGAAAATGCAAGTATGAGGACTACTACTCGCTCTACCACAGATATGTCTCTTGGAGGTGTAAAAAACCACAATTTGTTTGACTTTGGGTCCCCCTTTCAACTCTGAACCTCCATACTTCTGCTTCATCCTTCTGTCTGCAGACAAGATCCTTGCCTAGAGGGTCCCAGGTGCTGTCTGTTCCCCCACTAAGACAGTGCACAATTCCCCTTCACTGCCCCAGCAAATCCATACCCATTCTTCCTTGACTCCAACAATACGGATAAGCACCAATGTTTTCCATATCATTTCAAGTCACGTGTCTTTTTCACCTTGATACTATATACATGATTCATAAGTTAAAATGCACAACCTAACTCATACAGTGTCTACCTAGGGTGACAAATAGTTCTGAAATTAAATAATGAAAACCTTTACTTGTACAGGAGTTCCAGCTTCTCAAAAGATTGCTGAGGGGGATCTAACCAGAATGAATAAATATAAAGACATCATTAAAAGTGCTGGCAGAAAACAGTGTGTGGATCCAGCTGTGATTGCTGGCATCATCTCTAGAGAGTCACATGCAGGAGCTGCCCTAACCGCTGATGGCTGGGGTGACGGGGGAAATGCCTTTGGTTTGATGCAAGTGAGTAATTTACAACAATCTTAGAACAAGATAGCATGAATGGGTGTTATAGGCAAGAAGACAGCCTTATTTCTCAATAGTGCAGCTACTGCTGATGTCCATACCATTAAAATAAACTAGGTTTGCAGCAGCACCATGTTGACTAGCACACAGGACAACTGAAATCAGCGAGCAAGCTTCTTTAGCGTGTTGACTCCTGTTTGGATAGTGTTTTTCAGCCTGTGATCCGCAAACTATATCTAAGGGGTCCACAAAAGATTACTATGAGTAGTCAAAAGTATGTGAATACCCACTCTTACAATTCAAAGAGGTCAGTACCTTTATTTGAAATTTCCAAAGGGGTCCCCTCCTCCATTTTTTAGGGGTCTGCAAGTGAACAAAGGTTGAAAACCACTGTGTTAGGGACTGTCTTTTAACCTTTTAAGAGGCTATGCATTTTACCCTACCACCCAGAAAGTCCATTCTCTTGTGGCAACATTTGTGAAGGGGAAAGCCTCACATTAAGGAACTAGGTGAGTCTGCATTCTCATCATAGTAAGTTTATATTTGATCTTTTCCATTACTTTCCGAATTCCCTGGTCGCAGTGGCAGCATGTTTAAATTTGTATGGAATTCTGTACTGAAACACCCTCTCCCATGCAAGTGTTACCTAGCTCTGGAACTCTTTAAGCAGATGGGTACCTCAAGGTTTGATTTTAAAAGGTCCCGAGACATGTAATATTCAGCTTCTGTGTGCGCCCACAAACACTTTAATCTCAACAGGGCTGAGCACCTCAGTGCCCATCTCACCCCCATTGTCTAGTGCAGGGGTTGTCAACCGGGGGTCTGTGTATCCCCGTGGGTACTTGGGAAGGCCCTAGGGGATTCACATGAATGGGCGGGGATGGAGTGCCATCACCTACCACCCCACACCACCGCCTCCCAGGAGCAAGGCTGGGGCAGGGTGAGGGCAGCAGCACCCCTCTGTGGGCTACATAGGTGCCATTGTCTACTGGTACCTAACAGCTAGACTTACCTCCACCTACCTCCACCCAATCTAGGAAGAATCCTCATAGCATGTTTACCTATGAGGCAGTGACAGCTGCATTTTCATTTAAAGCACAAAAGGGAAGGATTGGAAAGGACGTGGCCCCTTTTACATACAATTTAGTAGTTAGAGCACTCCCCCATGATGCGAGTGTCATTCCCACTTTTGCTGCAGGGGATTCAAACCCTTATCACCCAGCTTTCCTAACCCCCTAAGCCTCCAGACTGTTGTGTGGTAGGGATGGATTGCATTCTCTATTCAAGATTCACCAATTCACAGTGTGTGAGGTGCATGACTTCAGCTTAGTGTTTAGGGCCGTCACTTGGAAAAGTGAACTTCTGGGTTCTGAGCACAGTTCCCCTTCTGTTAGCACTGCCAATATCTAGTAGTGAAAACATAGTATACAGAGAAGCTCACAGGGCATTCTGGCAAAGAGTTGACACAATAAAAGCTAGTTTAATCCGTTGAAAGGGCAGTAAACTGCCTAAACTTATTGGGGTAAGTCTTATCTCACCTTTACATGTGTAAGTGGCACTAATATAGCTACTTAACTGCAATTCTTGGGACTTCTGCTAAATTTAGATCCTATTTCTACCTGTGGTAGAACAGGATCATCCTATACACATGCTAGCCAGAACTCATGCGGAGGAGCAAACCCCTCCTCACCTTTTAGCCCAATAGCCTTGTGATTAAAACACTTGTGTAGGGAGGCATTCTAGATTCAAGGTTTTGATCACCCAGAGGGTTTGGGCCTCTATCTCCTGCTTCTCAGAAAAGTGCCTTAACCATGGCACAGCGAGACCTGAGTTCTGGCCCTGATCACTCTCCCATTGGGACAGAAACAACTCCATTCCTGTTGATTGGCATTACCCAGTGAATATTAAATGCATTGTTTGGTAGGCTAACTTCAGGAGGGGAGCGGTTAGCAATGCCTGGCCCATGGCCTGGTGATTAAACCATGTTACTAAGAAACAGAAACATATAGCTTCAAATTCCCTCTAGGTGACCAGCAGCTTAGAACCTAGCAGGCTCTTAGGTGGCAGGACCGTCCTGCAGCATCAAACACCCACTAGTCATAGTTTTACTCTAACGAAAGCTTTGGACTTAATAGACATTATATAGGTGCCAGGCATTTCTATTTCCTACAGGCACTTATGCAAACTTAATGAAGCCTAATGAGCCTATTCAGAAGGGAAATGCAGGGGGGTGCAGTTACATAGAATGAAAACTGCATGTAAAGGCCAAAATTGTAGTTACAATGTTACATAGGTACTTGGTTGCATACAAGATTTAGCCCATCATCTTTTACCTTAGAGTAGTAATGTTTCCTTGGTTTCTTCTAGGTTGATAAGAGGTATCATACACCCGTTGGGAAATGGAACTCTGAGGCTCATCTCATCCAGGGCACACAAATCCTTGTGGGTATGATTAAGGAAATCCAGAGAAAGTTCCCAAGGTGGACTAAAGAACAACAGCTGAAAGGTGAAGTATGGAATATATTCAGGCTATGAGACAAGGGAAATTCTAAGACACATATCCTATTAAATATCTTGTGTTACTGAACTTCTGCAAGAATCTCTCATAATTTTCACCACTGATGCAATTCTTCTGCTTCCTGATTTCCCAGAGCTTGGACAGTGAAACTAAATACATCTGTTTCACATTGGTTTTCCCTTTCTTTAGCACAATATTGGGTTTGAGTTTCCAACACTGCAGGGGAATAGTTAAATGCAAAAAGAAATCCTGTATACACATCTGCTTTAATGTGCATTAACCTAATTTAATATGCATTGAAGCATCACAAAAAAACTGTGCTCTTTAACTAATGTGCATGAAAATAGACTCATGTGCCTTTTTCTAGTACTTCACAATGAAGGTACTAATTTAATGTGCATTACCTAAAGTGCATTAATGAATGTCTAGATGCACCCTTTATGTTGTTATTTGGGCCTCAACTATTTGGCCATGTCTGTGTCTACATGAGATGCTGAGTCCACAGTAGCCTGTGACAACTCTGCAGTAGTGTCATATGGCAGGAAACATGATGCAACTCTACTGTGCAGTAGTAATAAGCTAATGCGTGGTCAGAATCACAAAAAAACCCATCTGGTGACGCTACATCACAGTAGCTCTGGTTACTGTGAAGGCATTTAGTACTTGTTCATACAAGTACTAAATGATTGCACAGTCAGCATCTCATGTAGAAGCAGCCATGAGAACTATCCTGAAGCCATTGAAGATAAGAAGTTTGGTATTTATTGAAACAGTGCCAGCATGTCATTCTGAATCTCTGTAGACATGCAGTCTTTTTGAAAACTATAGAAAGATCTCAAGAGAATTACAAGATTGTGCAGGTTAACATGAAAGATGCAACAGAGAAAATTAGCCTCCAGTGGTGAGCTCTGTGCTGCTAGCTCTAGACTGATTATAATATCTAGGTTAGCTCATTTACAGCTAGCTCAGGTGTCTATGATACACTGCAACATGCTGGCAGAGATTCAGAAAGAGGAGGAGAATGAAATCCATACTTGTGTTTTAACATTCACCTACCATAGTTTTCATTCAGCCCTGAAAATGACTGTGACAAGGTTATTGGGTCTTCATTCATTAAGTGTGGGTGTGGGCTGAAGAATGAGGCCTCCTGTTTGAACATGGTTAGCCAAATGCATGCTATATTTTCACACAGCTACTGGTATCTGTGAATGTAAAACTATCAAATCCTGATTTTTGAGTGAATTTAGGATTTTATACATTCTGTTCACACAACCTCAGTCTAATCAGATACACACAGTAAGAGAGCAATTCAGACATTTCCAAAAGCTCTTACAAACTAGGAGAGAATGTTTAGTTTTCTGTCTGTGTTTACACTTCTGATGCTTTGTTTCAGGTGGGATTTCTGCCTACAATGCAGGACCTCGAAATGTACAGACCTATCAAGGAATGGATATTGGCACAACCCACAATGATTATGCCAATGATGTAGTTGCACGAGCCCAGTTTTACAAGAAAAATGGATACTAACTGTGGGAATGCCCTTCTACTTGGATAAATTACAGTCCTTAAGTTGATTGGTCCAACTTTAATGAGAGATCTTGAGCATTGCTTAATGTTACTGATTGTTTCTCTGAGCAATGCGGCTTCCTTGGTCTTACTATTGTCAATTTGTTGCCTTCCCAATTTAAAATGTTGCTTATTTCGTTATTTGTCATTTTGCTAAGAAATCAAAGGGGAAAGTTCTCTCTTTGGGGAATTCAGCTTTCATTTTCAATTTTTTTGTAAATTACTTTGAAAATGCATTCTTACAGCAGCTGGCTTTTGGTTGAAAATCTTCAGGTGCTATGCAAATTATGCATATGTATTCTAATTTCTACATTCATTCCTCTTCCCCGCACCCCACTAGCCTTTCTCTCACCCACTGACTCCTCAATTTATATCTTCACTAACTGGCTTTCTTGCATGCAGACCAGTCTCTGGCTTCTTTACTGTTCATGCCATCCAGGAACAGCACAAACCAACTGCAGAGACTTCCTCAGTCTGACAAAGGATTGTTAAACCTGAAAGCTTGCTAAGAAATTTTTTTTCCAACTATTTAGTTGATGTAATAAAAGATATCAGATTTACCCAAAGAACCTTGTCTGCCTATGTCCTTAGACCAACACGACTACAACCTACACCTCTGAATGATGTGAGCGTCAATAATCTGAAGACAGACTCAACCTACAGCGCTGACTTCCAAAAGCGACAGCACTCCCACTGCACTATGTTTTAAGTAGACATTTACTTACGAAAGGTGACTGTGCCCAAAAGCTTGTTAAGAACTTTTTTCCAGCTACTCAATTGGTCTAATAAAACATATCACATCTACCCAAAGAACCTTGCCTGCCTATGTCCTTAGATCAATATGGCTACAACCAAAAACTTGTTTACATACTAACACTTGTTGAACATAATGCAGTAAAGCAAAATGCAAGAGCACTCTTAGAATTTGTACTCAAAGATGTTGCAAAAGCAGTTAGAAAATACACTGCAGAGCTGCTTTGCCAAGCAAATGAATTAAACAGTTATCATTAAAAAGTTAAGGAGGAAAGTTCAAGGAAATTTACTTTTATTATATGTATGCATACAAGTTTCTCTCCCTTTATACTGTACATGTGATCCTGGAAAACGGCACATAACTCGAATTCATGTATAGGGAGCCCACTTTACAATGTAACAAATGGGGATACATTCAAAGTCCTCAACTGTACTGACCCCAGACCCATTTCTACCACTCTTACGAGTCAATTTTGGTACTCACCAACAGCAAACAGTACACACAAGCACAGGGTGGTGGTGAATGTTAACATAATGGGGATTGCAACTACAGAAACACGTGTCTCAGACAGTGAGTGAGGAGCACAGATCCATGCAGGAGACTATCTTTTGGTGTGCGTCACTCTCACAATGCACCACACAAAGCAGCTGACTGTGGGCTTCCAACACACCGATCGCATAAAAGTGAATTTACCTCACATATAATGAATTTTTGGTATAAAAAGGGTCATTGCATAAGAGCGAATTTGCACATACAGAACCCGCACAAAGCGAGGGAAACCTGTATAATTTGTTGTTTATATGTATACATATAACGTATGCTGTTCCTCAAATTATAATTCACATCTGAACCTACATCTTCCCTTAATCACTTCAAAGTGTTTTGAGTCACTCTGTTAATTGCAAGATTTTACCTACAAGACACTAGACTTGTAGGACATTTACCTCTGCAAATGATCTGTCACATAATAATAGAGCACTTATAAAAGGACTTTCCTTTCTATGCTACTACATTGGCCTCTTATTTGATTACAAATATAGACTTAAATATTTAAAAACTAGTTAAATAAAACTTGCATACAACTGCTTGATTTTAATTAATATTTCCCTTATTAATCTGATCATAGCAAGGTTCATATTCCAGGAGTGGCTATGACACCCCCTGGTGACTACACAAACCTCACCCTACTCTTGCTCTAGGGTGCCCTCCCCTTCTCACTCATCTGTTACGCCTTGAAGTATTTGTTTGATTGAAAAGGAGGCTGCCTTAGATCAGTGGTTCTCAAGCTATGAGTTAGGCCTCCCTGGAGAGGCATGGTGTCATGTCAAGGAAGGTGCGAGCAGTTAGTTTTGGAGGTTTTTTTGAGGAGAGGGCAGTGCCCCGGGCAGCAGGTAGGGAAGTAGGGGTGGCCAGGGGGAAGCTGCAGCTGCGCAGGACCAGGGAGCACAGGACCGGGGCCAGTGGGAGTGCAGAGCTTGAAGCACAGGACTTGTGATCAGTGGGGCACCAGGAGTGTAGAGTCCAGAATGGGACTCTCCCAGAAGTAGCAGGGAGCGCCACACAATGGAGCCTGTCCAGCTTGGCCCCTACCCCTAGCTGCACATGGTGGCAGGAAGCAGGGCCAGGCCACTGGCTCCATCATGCAGACCCTCCCCATGGCAGCATGCAAGTCCCAAGAGTTGCACGTGAGCCAACAAGAGCCCCATGAAATGAAACTGGCCCAGCATGGTCCTACTCACTGCTACCACATGCAGCTCTTGGAGCCGTGCGCTGTCAGGGGGCTCTCCCTGTGTGGGCCATGAGCACCCCAAGGGTGCACCCCAATGCTCCACCACCTGCTGCTGCCATGGCAAGGGCTGTAAGGGGGGGGGGGGGGGAGGGGGGGACTGCACACCACCCCATACGCTCACACACACACACGCTCCACAAACTGGAAGGTTTTGTCAACCTTCAACTGTCAGTTATAAACCAGTTAAGCAAGGATGGCATAATAAACCACAACCCTGTGCAGAAGAGGTGTTTGAACATTTTGGGGCTAAATTGAGAAATAAATGAGCTGACAATTGCAGCAATAAAGAGGGAAAGCAGGTACAAATATGTGCAATCTTGTGCCACCAATTTTGGGAGATGCAGAAAAAAAACTCTACAGCACTGACTATTTGACTGCCTGCCTACCAGCACCTTTCTTCTTTCAGTAGGAGCATGTAAGTAGCACCACTGTCATGGGAATTGCTTAGCTTGTCTGATTTTTGCTTTTTTTCCCCAAACCATGTTGTTTATATTTGAGTTTCATATACAGGTTTGTTTACAAGGTACTTCTCCTCTGTCTATCCTTGGAAGGCCATCTAATAATCACTTTTTGAAATGGAGCTGTGTTGGGCCCTAGTTTTTCCAGTCCATATCAATAAGTCTATGCCTACTTTGCTATTTGTCCTGTGTTCAGCATTATTCTGGATTTTGCTGGTGGGCAGAAACAGTTCTTTGTTTTTTGCTGGAGTCTCTGACTTTCAGGTCTAATGTACTTCCTCCTCAGGACATTCTTTTTGTAGTATTCTAGATTCTTGTTTGGATGGGTGACTTCCTTTGCTTGCTCTAGTTTCTCAGAGACTAATTCTGGGTGTTATACAACGCCTTCTCTGAGATTTTTCTCAAAGAAACAAATCACTGTCTTTAGGATTCAGTTAGTCAGGTCCTAAAACTGCAGGATAGGTCCTTTGTTCCTAGATCAGTATAATTTTACCTTCTTGGTACTCTCTGTTGATAAACATCTCCCACATTGTCATTTTCACCTGGAGTGCAGGTATACAAAAACTTCTGAGGCACATTTTCATTGTCAGCTTCCTGTGTCTAAGCTAAGTAAATCTCTTCAAGTGCTTTAAGACAAGCCCATGTACCCAGACAAGCCCATGTCTCCTCTCTGGAGAACAGTCTAGGATACCAGAACACAACTGGAAAAAAAAAACATTGCTAGGAATTCTTTATCTTTGTTCTGGACTTTGCTACCAGCTTTTTTTTAGGGAAGAGATGGGGAAACAAGAGAAACATGTGGAAAGAGAGACCCCCAATGAAAAGAAAGAACTGAGATTTGAAATCCGAGTCACAGCAAACTGGAATTGTGAAATCACTTTCCTCCTTGCCAGCTCCCATATGGATACCGGATGGATTTTATTTTGGTTAGAAAACATTACTGCACATTTCATCATCTCTGAGATCACATTAACTTTTAGATCGAATAGGATATATTCTTCTTGTATATACAAAGCCCCTCAAAGCATCAATCTTTGGGCAAAATACAAAGTGAAGGGAAGCAAGTAAAAAATTGACCTAATTCAGAATATGAGCTAGTCTTCAGTCTATACATCAGTACATTTTGATAGGCAGTAATAGAAGGCCAAAGGCTGCAGTCCTCACTCCTGAACAGATCTTCATTATACAATAGGCTTAATGGAAAATTAGAGCTAGAAAGGGCTAACACAGATGGTGGAAAGTGATCATATCCTGCCCCTGCTCACAGATATGGCATAAGCTATAATAAACACCATCAAAATATGTTGTAGACACCCTAGCAGAGGCTCAAGGTTCAATTCTGAAGGGGAAACAGCAGCTGGTAATTCTTAAAACAGTTTATCATACTAACTCCATATCAAATATTCTTGGAGATTATAGTTCTGAAGACAAGTAGAAAGAGAAATTAGAATATCAACAAGGTTGAATTATTAAAGCTTGATTCCGCATCTATTCTCTCCTCTCTCTTCTGGACTCTTTGTATGCTCTGTCAGGGAAAGGCAGAACTATTCTTGTGGTCTCTGTCATGGCTACCCATACACCAAGCCATAGAATTGTTTTCTATTTCACTATTGGCACATTCAGTCAAGAAAAGTATCCAATTATTCATAAAATGGTATATAAGTATTCATATTTAGTTAGAGGACATGTCAAGGCCTTTCTTTTGTCATGTTTGCTGCTTTTGATTTTTTTTCAGATTCTCTTCTGTGCTCAAGAAGAACCACCAGCATGCATCTGCCACTGATCATTCTGGGCCTAACTGCCTTTATTGGTCAGTTTGGAGCAATCTCTGGTTCACTGAACTTTCTGACATGACAACTGAGTAAAGAGATTTGGGGCACATAAGACATCAAGGTTACAAGCAAATACTTGGCTGAAAGAAGGTTCACCAGACCTGGAAAAGGCTTATCACTGAACAGTTGACAGATAATAACTTCTTTTATGCCCACAGTTACCCCACAGAAAGTGAAAGCTACATGAGGTCAAGGTAGCCCAACCTGATTCAGGGGTAAATTGACTTGGTAAAACTCAGGTGCAGACAGAACTGACAATTTTTGCCTGAACTGGCCACAATAGGTGGCTTAAAACCATGACCAAACACAAGCGCAAGGCCATTGGCAGCACATAGGGGGTGCACACGGGTGCACATGCACCCCCTGAGATTGGCCATGTACCCCCCTGGACGCGCCAGCCGCTAAAGTGGAAGTGCCGGCGGGAGTGCACTCTGGCTTTGCCAGTTTTGCTGCTGGTGTTTCTGCGAGCAGTGCTCAGCTGCTGAGGGACCCCTTCCTCCCAGTCCGTGATCAGATGCTGAGGACCTCTTCCCCTCCTCCATCAGCCATCTGGTGTCCGTCCCCCACACTTGGGAGGCACCAGCCGCCCATGTGCATGGGTGCAGACAGCTTAAAAAATAGCCAATTGGGTGAAAATCTCACACCTCATTGAATGAGGGGCCAGATGAAGACATTTCAAAACAGCATCTTTTGTAAGTTCTGTCTGCCAGCCTCCAGCTGTTTTCAGAATGGGAGGGAGGAAAGGGAGTGGAGAGAGTTCAGTCTGGGGGTTTTTCAACCCCCACTGGAGGATGGGGCAGGTGTGTTGGAGTCCTCCCAAGGTGGGGGGGGCTCCAATCCACACACCCCCCCAGGACCAGCTGGGGAACCCTTAGAATTAACTCCCTCTACTCCCTTTCCCCCTTCCCATTCTGAAAGCTTTGCAGCCTCACAGGGAGGAGGGGCCATTGCTAGAGGAAACCAGCTGCAGGCTGGCAGCCAGCAGCTAGATTCTTCTCCCTCCTGGAGCCAACAGTGAACTTCAGCTGGTTCCAGGGGATCATTGAAACTCAGAACACTTCCTAAAAAGCATTCTCAGTTACAGCTGGGACCTGCACTTCTATCTGCACCCTCACTTACTGAGAGAGAATTCAAGGAATGTGACCAGTTACCATGCATCATTTTTTTCATGCAAAGTCCATACCTCCTGATACCTCTCCTGAGTTTGCTCATTTGTCTATACCCTAATACAGGGGTCAGCAACCCCCAGCACATGTGCTGAGCATGGCACACAAGGCCATTTTGCTCGGCACACCAATGCCAGTCCAAGCTCTAAGCAGCTTCTGCCAGCCACGGAGCCCAGGCAATTCCCATCAGGCGGCTGGGAGGCTGCAAGCCCTGCTGCAAGCAGACCAGACTCTGGGGCCTGGCTGCAGCTGGGAGGCTGCAAACAGCTGCTCCAGGCTTCGGCTTGTCAGCACTCCAGCACCTTCCAAGGTAGATATTGTGGTTTTTTCAGCACTTCGGCCAAAAAATGTTGTCTACCCCTGTCCTAGTACATTTCATTAATATTTCCACAAATCCTAGCTGTGTACATGAGCATAGGGAATGGGCATCAACAGTTAATGGAAATTAGAATTAGAAAATTAGAATATATCACATGATGGAGCTCAAAGTACTTAGAGGATGCTTGCAGAATGGGGACATAGGATGTGTCCTTTTGTAGGTACTTGGGTATGGCTCAGGATGCTTTTATCCCTGGCCTCTTGGAGAACACAGTGAAAGATCCATTTCATCCATCTCTACTGAGGGTGAAGTCCTGAAGAGAATTTCATCCTCAGTAGAGGCAATCATTTCTGGCTGGCAAGCTCCTCGAGACCTGTGAAATACAGAGTACTCCATCTTAAACAGAGTATGTATGGTTAATGACTCTGAATTGTCTTAGCTTTACTCCTGCTCACAAAAGCTCCTTAATGTAAAATGTCTCTATTTAACTTTTCAGACATTTCCTTCAGTCAGTCTATATGCTATCGCAATATAAATGGAGTTGATACCACTGGGGCATCTTGTCAAACTGCAAGATCAGAAGGCTTAATATATTGTGGTGAGTATGATTGTGTTTTCAGGCTCATTTCAGAATACAGGGTGATCACTGTAATCCACAACTCTTGATTTCTTCCAACCATGGAAAAAAGGGTTAATTGATTAAATCTTATGACTGGGGTGACCATATGTCCCAGATTAGCCAGGACAGTGACAGTCCCAGATTTCAGAGGCTGTCTCAGCATCCCAGCCATTGGAGAAAATTGAAACAAAAGTCCCAGATCAGTGGGAACCTGTGCCCAGTTCCTGAGTCATGTGTGGGTGGGTCCCCACCAATCTGGGGACTTTTACTTCAGTTTTCTCCAGGGAGCCCAGCCAATGGGCTGGTCCCTGGTCTGGACTCCAATGGGTTGTGAGCAGTCGCTTGTGCAGTAGAATGGGAGGTTGGGGGGAGGGAGGGGCAGGGGAGCTGCAGAGTTTTTGTCTGGCCCCGTTCACTCTTGAGATCCATGAGGAGGGGAGAGGCATGCATGCACTGTCCTGCCTGGCCCAGACTGTTGACACTACCCCTCGCCCTGCCCCACTCCATCCCAGATTTCCCTCAAATTATTATGGTCACTGAACTCATAATATTCCTCTAGCAAAAATAATCCTTTTCTGTTTTTACCTGTGGGACAACTACCAAAATTATATTGTTCCATTGGTATTAAAAGAGTTAAACAACTGATACATTTTGATCCAGAAAGTAAACAGTCCATTTTTATATCAGCAGCTTCTGATCCCTTTTTATGTTTTTGAAGCAGTCAGACAAAAACCTCAAATTGAAGTCAAAGGTGCTGAGAGTGCCATAAACCTCAGAAGACGAAGCTCTAGGTGGTCCTGAATTATAAAATTTAACCAAAGTGATCACCCCAAAGCTGTGCAGTAGATCAGCAATGGAGCTGACTGGGAAATTCCTGGTTTCCCATCTTTCTTAGCCATCACTGTCATTACTGGCACTGCTAGTAAACTTGAAGAAACACCTTATTCTGATTGCTCCAAAAATAAAATAGGATTTAACACAGAGACCTGATTTAACTAGGAATGAAGTTACACATTGCACTCTTTACTAAGGGCACTTAAAGCAAGTGTCCACATGTTAAAGCTCATTAACATGTGCTAAGCATGCTCCCTAGCTTGTGTTAGGGTAATTTCAGTCTGCTCCATAGAGTTAAAGTGAGCAAAATAACAGTCCTCCAGCATCCCAGGGTGCACTACTCCCACCCCCCATTAATCCCTCCCCCTAAGCAGGGATAGAGTCCAGGTGTCCTGGCTACTAACCAATCACACTCCTGCTTGCCAGCCCTCTAGTGGCAAATTTGAGCTCTGCAGGCAAAAAACAGTATTAACCTTTAACATGCAAATGCTCACAGCACATTCTAACTTTGATACTAATTAGCACGCCATACATTTAGTATGGTCTCAATGTAATGTGTAACTTCACCCCTATAGGATTTTCTCTAAGTACAGGATGGGCTGATGTTGAACCTTCAAAAGAAAAAAGGAGGGGAAAATGCAAGTGTGGGGATTACTACCTCCTTTCCCACAAATGCCTCTTGGAGGTATACAAGTCCACCATTTGTTAGAGTATGGGTCCCCCTTTTGACTGTAAACCTCCATACTTCTGCTTCATCCTTCTGTCTGCAGACAAGATCCTTGCCTAGAGGGTCTCAGGTGCTGTCTGTTCCTCCACAAAGACAGTGCACAATTCCCCTTCACTTCCCCAGCAAATCCATACCCATTCTTCTTTGACTCCAACAATACAGATAAACACCATTTTCCATATCATTTCAAGTCACATGTCTTTTTCACCTTGACACTATACATGATTCATAAGTTAAAATGCACAACCTAACTCATACAGTGTCTACCTAGGGTGACAAATAGTTCTGAAATTAATTAAATGAAAAACTTTACTTGTACAGGAGTTCCAGCTTCTGAAAAGATTGCTGAGGGGGATCTAACCAGAATGAATAAATATAAAGGCATCATTAAAAGTGCTGGCAGAAAACTGTGCGTGGATCCAGCTGTGATTGCTGGCATCGTCTCTAGAGAGTCACATGCAGGAGCTGCCCTAACCCACGATGGCTGGGATGAAAGGAGAAATGGTTTTGGTTTGATGCAAGTGTGTAATTTACAATACTCTTAGAATAAGATAGCACAGATGGGTTTTATAGGCAAGAAGACAGCCTTATTTCTCAATAGTGCAGCTACTGCTGATGTCCATACCATTAAAAGAAACTATAGTTGTGGCAGCAGCAGCATGTTGCACTGGCACAAGGGACACCTGAGATCTGTAAGCAAGCTTCTTTAAAGTGTTGATTCCTCTTTGGACAGTGTTTTTCAACCTGTGATCCGCAAACACCAAAGGGGTTCGCAGGGTACATCCAATGGGTCCATAAAAGATTATTACAATCAATCAAAAATATGTGAATATCCACACTTACAAGTCAAAGGGGTCTGCACCTCAATTCAAAATATTTTAGGGTTCCACAAATGAAAAAAGGTTGAAAACCACTGTCTTAGGAGGTTAAAGAGAGTCCTTAAGAGCCTGTGCATTTTATCCTGCCACCCAGACAGTCCATTCTGTGGTGGCAGCATTTGTGAAGGTGAAAGCCTTACATGAAGCAACGAGGTGATTATGCATTCTCATCATTCTAAGTTTACATTTGATCTTTTCCATTGGTTTCAGCTTCCCAAACCTCTGGTCACCAGCTGCATGTTTAATTTTGTATGGAAATCTGTACTGAAACACCCTCCCCCACTCAGGTTTTGCCTGCTCTGGAACTCTTTAAGCAAATGGGTACTTCAGGGTTTGATTTTAAAAGGTCCTGAGACATGTAATATTCCGCTTCTGTACACACCCAAAAACACTTTAGTGTTGACAGAGCTGAGCACCTCAGTGCCCATCTCACCCCCATTGTCTAGGGCAGGGGTTGTCAACTGGGGGGCTGTGTAACCCTGGAAGCACGTGGGAAGGCCCTAGTGGGTCCATGTGAGTGGGCAGGGACGGAGCGCCATCACCTACCACCCCGCACCACTGCCTCCCAGAAGCAGGGCTGGGGCAGGGCAAGAGCAGTGGCACCCCTCTGTGGGCCACACAGTTGCTGCCCAGCTAGCTGGATGTGATGGGGAGGAGGGGAAGCTTGCATGTGGTAGCCGCCACCACCACCTACCACCCTGTGCTGTTGCTGCTCCACATGCGGGCACAGCCATCCCCACTCCTTGTTCTGTGTCCGGCCGCCAAGGTACACTTATTGAAAACCCCTGGTCTAGTGGTATCTACTGGGTTGGACTCGATGACCTTTCGAGGTCCATTCCAGCCTTTAATTTATATGATTCTATAATGCAACAGCTAGACTTACCTCCACCTATCTCCACCCAAAAGGCCTCAATCTAGGAAGGATACTCATAACATGTTTAGCTGTGGAAAGCACAAAAGGAAAGGATTGGAGAGGACGTGGCCCCTTTTCCATATAATTTAGTAGTTAGAGCACTCCCCCATGACGTGAGTGTAATTCCCACTTCTGCTGCAGGGAATTCAAACCTTTGCCACCTTCAAACCTAACCCCCTAAGCCTCCAGCCTATTGTGTGGTGGGGCTGGATTGCATTCTCTATTCAAGATTCACCAAGTCACAGTATGTGAGGTACATGACTTCAGCTTAGTGTTTAGGGCCCTCACTTGGAAAAGTGAACTTCTGGGTTCTGAGCACAGTTCCTCTTCTGTTAGCACTGCCAATATCTAGTAGTGAAAACATAGTATACAGAGAAGATCATTGGGCATTCTGATAAAGATTTGACACAATAAAAGCTAGTTGAATCCGTTGAAAGGGCAGTAAACTGCCTAAACTTATTGAGGTAAGTCTTATCTCACCTTTACATGCGTAAGTGGCACTAATATAGCTACTTAACTGCAATTCTTGGCATTTCTGCCAAATTTAGATCCTATTTCTACCTGTGGTGGAACAGGATCATCCTATACGCATGCTAGCCAGAACTCATGCAGAGGAGCAAACCCCTCCCACCATTTAGCCCAATGGCCTTGTGGTTAAAACACTTGTGTAGGGAGGCATTCTAGATTATAGGTTTTAATCACCCAAAGGGTTTGGGCCTCTATCTCCTGCTTCTCAGAAAAGTGCCTTAAACATGGCACAGGGAGACCTGAGTTCTGGCCCTGATCCCTTTCCCATTGGGACAGAAACAATTCCATTCCTGTTGATTGGCATTACCCAGTGAATATTAAATGCATTGTTTGGTGGGCTAACTTCAGGAGGGAAGCGGTGGACAATGCCTGGCCCATGGCCTGGTGATTAAAACACATTACTAAGAAAGAGAAAAATATAGCTTCAGATTCCATCTAGGTGACCAGCAGCCTAGAAACTAGCAGGCTCTGTAGCTAAAATAAAAGGTATCAGGACCCTCCTCCATCATCAAACCCTCCTCCAGCATCTCTGATGAAAGCTTTGGACTTAATAGGAATTATATAGGTGCCAGGGATTTCTATTTCCTACTGGCACTTATGCAAACATAATGAAGCCTAATGAGCCTACTCAGAAGGGAAATGCAGGGGTGGGGATAGCTACATAGAATGAAAACTGTATGTAAAGGCCAAAATTGTAGTTACAAGGTTACATAGGTACTTGGTTGCATACAAAATTTAGCCCGTCATCTTGTACCTTGGAGGAGTAACATTAGCTTGGTTTCTTCCAGATTGATAGACGGTCTTATCCTCAACTTACTCGACCATGGAACTCCGAAGCTCATCTCATTCAAGGCACACAAATCCTTGTGAAAATGATTACGGCAATCCAGAGAAAGTTCCCAAGGTGGACTAAAGAACAACAGCTGAAAGGTAAAGTATGGAATATATTCAGGCTATGAGACAAGGTAAATCCTAAAACACAAATCCCGTTTAAGTTCCTTGTATTACTGAACTTATGCAAGAATCTCTCGTGCTTTTCACCATTGATGCAATTCTTCTGCTTCCTGATTTCTCAGAGCTTGGACAGTGAAACTAAATACATCTGTTTCACATTGGTTTTCCATTCCTTTAGTACAGTATTGGGTTTGAGGTTCCAACACTGCAGGAGGAATAGTTAAATCCATAAAGAATTAATGTGCATTACCCTATTTTAATGTGCACTAAAGCATCACAAAACAATGGGCTTTTCTGCTAACGTGCATTAAAATAGGCTAATGCTCCCCTTTCTAGTACCACATAATGGAGGTACTAATTTAATGTACCTTACCTGAAGTTCAGTAATGAACATGTAGATGCACCCTTAATGTTGTTATTTGGGCCTCAACTATTTGACCATGGCTGCATCTATATGAGATGCTGACTGCACAGTAGCCTGTGACAACTGTGCAGTAGTGTCCTGTGGCAGGAAACATGATGCAACACTACTGTGCAGTAGTAATGAGCTAATGCGTGGTCAGCATCACAAAAAAGCTGTCTGGTGATTCTACTTCTCAGAAACTCTGGTGTATACAAATACTAAATGGCTGCACAGTCAGCATCTCATGTAGACGTGGCCTATGAGTACTATCCTGAAGCCATTGAAAGTAAAGGGAGGTTTAGCATTTATTTAAACATAGCCAGCATCTCACTCTGAATCTCTGTAGATATGTAGTCATTTTGAAAACTATAGATAAATCTCGAGAGAATTACAAGATTGTGCAGGTTAACATGAAAGATGGAATAGAGTAAATTAGCATCCAGTGAGCTTTGTGCTGCTAGATATAGATTGATTCTAATATCCAGGTTAGCTCATTTATAGCTAGCTCAAGGGTCTATGCTATACTGCAGCATGCAGTGCTGGCACAGAGATTCAGAAAAAGGAGAAGAATGAAGTTAATGCTCATGTTTTTTATATTCATCCACCATAGTTTTCATTCAGCCCTGAAAATGACTGTGACAAGGTTATTGGGTCTTCATTCATTAAGTGTGGGTGTGGGCTGAAGAATGAGGCCTCCTGTTTGAACATGGTTAGCCAAATGCATGCTATGTTTTCACACAGCTACTGGTATCTGTGAATGTAAAACTATCAAATCCTGATTTTTGAGTGAATTTAGGATTTTATACATTCTGTTCACACAACCTCAGTCTAATCAGATACACACAGTAAGAGAGCAATTCAGACATTTCCAAAAGCTCTTACAAACTAAGAGAGAATGTTTAGTTTGTTGTCTGTGTTTACACTTCCGATGCTTTGTTTTAGGTGGGATTTCTGCCTACAATGCAGGACCTCGAAATGTCCAGACTTATGCTGATATGGATATTGGCACAACCCACAATGATTATGCCAATGATGTAGTTGCACGAGCCCAGTTTTACAAGAAAAATGGATACTAACTGTGGGAATGCCCTTCTACTTGGATAAATTACAGTCCTTAGGTTGATCGGTCCAACTTTCATGAGAGAGCTTGAGTATTGCTCAATGTTACTAATTGTTCCTCTGAGCTATGAGGCTTCCTTATCAATGTTGTTGCCTTCCCAATTTAAAATGATGCTTATTTTGTTATTTGTCATTTTGCTAAGAAATCAAAAGGGGAAGTTATCTCTCTGGGGAATTCAGCTTTCATTTTCAATTTTTTTTGTAAATGACTTTGAAAATGCATTCTTACAGCTTTTGGTTGGAAATCTTCAGGTGCTTTGCAAATCATGCATATGTATTCGAATTTTTCAGAAAATGCTTAGAGCTCGGAGTGAGTGCTTACGAATGAAGAAAATCGTAATAAAATATTAGTGAGTGAAGTGAAAATATGAGCATTATGTGGTTTCTATCAGCAAAGTTTGGATGGGGACAACTTTAAAAATCAAAGCACACAAATTACAAAAAGGAATGGAATGAAGGACAGTTGTACTACATACATTATGGGGTCTTCTCTGCTATCAAGGGTCTTAACGTTCATTACTTGTAAAGAAGGGATAATATTAGGATTATTCCGTTCATTACATTCTATGCTCCTGTGACTTTAAGATTTGAAACTGAATGCATTCCAAAAGAATAAATCAACAGCCTATGGTAAGAAGAGGAGCTCCTAGATCAATGGAATTACTGCCTTTGACTTAAATTAATATTGATTCATCCTTTAAAAGGAAGTTGAATTCTGTTGATATGCCAGTATATTCTATAAAAAACAGGACCTGTGGGTTCTGAGCAATTTCGCACATCTTGCTTATTATGTGTCTCCGCTAGAGCTGATCTTTTTACAAACCATGGCCAGAAATGTCTTTATAAGCATCTTCTCTTACTATGGGTATAGTCTGCTATAGCACTTACTGTGCAAGAGATTCAGCTTGCCATAGCAAGTATTACATTTTTCTTTAAAAAGTACAAGTACTATACTACAGCCCTAGGTAACCCTCCTGTCATTCTATAATATCTTCCTTTTTTGAGCAGTTAGTATTTAAGCAGACCACACAGTATACATGACTGTTAAACCAGGGAGGTCAGGAGGATGGTTAGCAAGCAAACCATTAGCAGGCAATGTCAGCTTCATCTAGACGAAGGGTGCTCAATCCTAGCCTGTGGGCCAGATCCAGGCCACAAGGCCATATCATCCAGCCCGCAGGGCTCCCCACAAGCCTGGAGTTTAGGTTGTAGGGGAGTGTTGGCAAATAACACTGCCACCATTTCCCCACCCCCGAATATCCAACCCCCAGTTCTGGCCCCCATACAGCTGCTTTGGGCCCCAGCTGGGCCACTGCTGTGTGAAGGGCAACGGACCATTGTTGGCCTGGCTACACATGGCTGGATTGGCTCCAAGCTGCACCCACCTCACCCCACCAGGCCAAGCATACCCAGCCAGGCAGCCACCTAGGACAATAAAATGAAGGGGATCAGAAAAAAAAACGGTGTGCATGTACCTCACGTGCTCATTGAGGGTCACTTCAAGAGTCTGATCACGTGCCAAAGCAAGCAGGGCAGACCTGGCAGCCATGCTGCTACACTGGAGTTCTGCCTGGGGCCCTCCCTCAACAGGTCCCAGGTATTAGAAGGGAGGACGGCAACAGTTCATTTGCCTAGGGCAGCAACAATCCTTACACTGCTTCTACACCCAAACAGCTGGGTCAGGCTGCAGTTGGGCCATGTATGTGTGGCTGGATCCAGCCTAAGCTGAGCCAACACTATGTACTGGATCAAGCCATGGGGCAAAGAGTTTGGCCAGCACTAATGTGGATAATGCATACAAGATCTACAGTTAGTTTGGCAAACATCTTTTGCTGGCATATTGTGCAACCATCAGCATGAACACTGCATGCCCCCGGAGGCTGGGGAGGCACAGTGAGCTCCTGCAGGCGGCGGCAGCGCTGTTAGAGGCAGGAGCATGGCAGCAGCAAGAGGGGAGCTCCCACAGGTGGCCACGGAAGTGTCGGTGGTGGGAGGAGGGGAGGGTGGTGAGCACCGACCAGCGGTCGGTGATCACCCACAGATGCCACTGGCAGCGGCGACCAGCAGCAATAGCAGACTGCCCACAAAAGCCACCGGCGGTGTCGACGGCAGAGGGGCAGGGCTGGCGAGCAGCAACAGCCTGCAGGCGCCACCGGCAGTGTTAGCGCTGCCTTTTCACAGGGGTGTACCACCATGCTCAGGGGGTGCACGTGTACCCGCATGCACCCACTACGCTTTGCCAATGACCATCAGTGTGAATTAATAATGATCTCATCAGATCCACTACCTGAAAGAAATGGGATGACATTGCAACAGCTACTGAAACAATGATTCAAATGATCCTCTTACCCACTCCAGAGCAATGATTCCATGTTGTTTTAAAGACACAACAAACTACAAGACCATTTAGAAAATCATTCTACCTCTATTTTCAGTGTGTAGCATAACATAGTATGATTATTACTGTAAGCAGGTTACCTAGCCTGATGACTACTGCAGGCACACTTTGCTCCCTGAGGAGTTCCACAGCCAGTCCTCCCAAAGTCTTTAGGCAACAGACAAACCAACAAATAACCATACAAAACAAAAACCTTTCTCTCCTGTTGAGAAGCCCCTTGGCTCTGGCACAGAGCAGTGCAGAGCAGAGCAGCCAGGCTAGTGTCGTAGCAATAAAGTTTGGTGCCTGGGGCAAAGCCCGCAGCAGCAGCCTGCCCTTGCCCCCCCGCCATGCTTGCCCAGGGGGTACATGCAGCGGTGGGAGTTGTCTCACAGGCGTATATAATTTGTTGTTTATATGTATACATATAATGTATGCTGTTCCTCAAATTATGATTCACATCTGAACCTACATCTTCCCTTAATCACCTCAAAGTGTTTTGAGTCACTCTGTTAATTGCAAGATTTTACCTACAAGACACTAGACTTGTAGGACTTTACCTCTCCAAATGATCTGACACATAAAGCATTTATAAAGGGACTTTCCTTTCATTTCCATGCTGCTACCTAGGCCTCTTAGTTGATTACAGATATAGACTTAAATATTAAAAAAAAAAGTTAGATAAAAATTGCATACAACTGCTTGATTTTAATTAATATTTCCCTTATTTATTTGATCATAGCAAGGTTCATATTCCAGGGATGGCCATGACTCTCCCTGGTGACTGCACAACCCTCACCATAGTCTTGCTCTAGGGTGCCCTCCCCTTTTCACTCAGCTGCCATGCCTTGAAGTATTTGTGGAGGCTGCCTAAGTCTTAGATCAGTGGTTCTCAAACTTATGCGGTGGGCCTCCTTGAAAAGGCACGGTGTCATGTCAAGGGAGGTGCAGGCAGCAAATCTTTTTTTTTTTTGAGAAGAGGGCAGCTCCCTGGGCAGCAGGTAGGGAAGAGGAGAGGGCAGGGGAAAGCTGCAGCTGGGCAAGACCACGGGGGGGCACAGGACCGGGGCCAGTGGGAGAGCAGAACTCAAAGAATAGGGCTCACTCCCAGTGGGGCACCAGGAGTGCAGAGTCCAGAATGGGACTCCACCAGAAGTGGCAGGGAGCACCATACAATGGAGACAGGTGGGCTTGGCACTGCCCCTTGTTTCCCAGTCGGGTCCTAGCAGCTGCACACGGTGGCAAGGAGTGGGGCCAGGCTGCTGACTCCATCATGCAGACCCTCCCCACGGCAGCATGCGAGTCCCAAGAGCTGCACATGAGACACCAGGAGCCCCATGAAATGGAACTGGGCCAGCCTGGCCTCACTCAGAGTGAGGATTCAAGATGTGATGGAGATGATCCCGGCCATTATCTGGTCCACTGGTTAAGACTCCATGGTACTAATTCATGTGGGCACTAATGACGTGGCCAGGAGAAGCCCAGATCATCTGATGAAGGACTACCATGCTCTGGGGGGCAAGCTGAAGGAGAGAGGGGCACAGGTGGTCTTTTCATCTGTCCTTCCAGTGAGCAGATGTGGATAATGCCATGAGAACTGCATCAGAGAGGTCAACTTGCGCCTTCGGGAATGTTGGCTTGAGACGGGCTTCAGCTTCTTGGACCATGACCTGTACTTCAAGACGAGAGACATGTTCAGGTGGGATGGGCTTCACCTCTCCCCCAAAGGTAAGCATGTGTTCTCTTTTAGGTTGGCTGATCTCCTCCGGCGGGCTTTAAACTAGGCTCATTGGGGGAAGGGGAGGATGAGGTTGGAGGGAGCCTTGGAACACCAAACCAAGTGTCGCCCACAAGAACAGCCCAGCCAAGACTGACGATGAGCACAAGAAATACCCAGGTAAGAGACCTGGATAGTCCTGGGATCAGGGGGGTGGTGCATACACTTTCAGAAGGCCTTAAATGCCTATACATTAATATTCGTAGTATGGGGAACAAGCAGGAGGAATTTGCCCTCCTGCTAGCTAACACAAACCCAGACATAGTGGGGCTCACCGAAACGTGGCGGGATCCAATGGATGACTGGGCAGTGAACATCAAGGGCTATAGGCTGTACAGGAGGGACATGATCAGGCGCTCTATGTCAAAGAACAATTCATATCCTCAATGAGCAACACTGGATCAGAGGAGGGGCAGACTAAAGTGCTCTGGGTCAGAATACAAGGGGGTAGGGGGGAAAAGGACTTAATGGTGGGAGTCTACTACAGACCACCCAACCAGGGAGAAGAGCTAGACCAGGAATTCTCAGGTCAGCCTGCAGAGGCAGTTAAGTCAAAGGATGTGGTCATCATGGGTGACCTAAACTATCCAAACATTTGCTTGGAAGAGCAGTCAGCCAGGTCTGACCGCTCACGTAGGTTCCTAGCCATGTTACAGGACCTCCACCTAACCCAGGAGGTGCACAGTCCCACCAAGGGAAATGCCTTATTAGACCTGGTCCTGGCCATAAGTGACAACCTGGTGAGGGGACTGTGGGTGCTTAATCACCTGGGCAATAGCGATCATCGTCTATTGGAAT